TTCCTTCTAGACGTGGCTTGAAAGTGAAAAAACTTGGTATTTTTGTCCTTACCTTAGAGCCATGAGATCCTTGCACGTTGGGCCTAATACAACTCTTTTTTTTAAACTGCTTCATTTAATTGCTCTTGCATAACCTGAGCGTCTTCTAACAAGCCACCTGTAGGGTTGTTGTCTCTTAATCATTTCATACTTTTTAGCCAAGTTTTCCACAGTTTGGTGGCCCCCTAATATTAGCATCTATGTTCCATTACAGTAGCTTTTCCCTCACATAAATTTCCTGGTTAGCATCCCATCTACGCATTCCTTTATCCTTTGTCGTATAATATTACCATAATTCTCAAGTCTAAGTTGCTTCAAAATAAGATCTCTTTTTCCTTTTCTTGTCATGTCTACTACTTTTTCCATTTTCGGTATCCATGGCTAGTGGGTTGTGGTCTGACACCGAGGTTATCAAATTTATCATTGTGTTCCAAAGAAAGTTTCTCATCAATTGTATATTTTCTAGCTCTCGATCTAGTCATTCCCTTATCACAGATTGCTTATTTCTCTCCCTTTTCGATGTGTGCTAAACACTTTTGAACCTAAGATCATTTAATTCTGTCTTATTTAAAGTTGTACGAAGGCTTCCATCTGACCTTCAGCCCGCATACATCCTCCTTCCTTTTCGGAATCCCAAAGGATCTCATTGAAATCCTCTAGACATAGCCACGACAAAAGAGACATCCCAGGCAATTGTTTAGGAGTTGCTATGTTCTGTTTTTATAGTGGGTTCTTAGTTCTCTATAAAAGCCTATTATCTTTCACTTCTTATTATCCCTGTTTGTGATCTCCATATCAATATGGTTTTTCGAAAAGCTGAGAAGGTTAAGAGCACAACTATCCTTCCATATCATACCCAAACCTCTATTCGTACCCTACGGGTCTACCTGAAGAAAGAATCCATTATACATTTCCTCTTTATTCTGTCTATTTCTGCTACTCTTAAATGTGTTTTGCTAAGAAACACTATATTAGGATCTTTTTTCTTTACCAATATTTAAAGTGCCCTAATTACCCGTGGGTTCCCAAGCCTATGGTAGTTTTATATAAGGGTTTTTAATGTCTCTGGTGGGGCTGGAATCCAGTCTCCACTGATCTATTCATATTCAGCTCCTTTTCTTTTTTTCTATAGTCCCTCTTCTTGTTCCAAGTCATTGTGGCTTCTTTCAATCTTATTTCGTTTCTCCTTTAAAATTAAGTGCACTACATATTGGGTTTGGCTAGAGGCCCTCGCTAGTTTCTTCCACTTCACCTTCGCACGTTGCATGGGTTCTTCTTGATTAATTTCAAAACATGCATTTTTGTTTGTGATCATGCTTGCTAGTTTTGCAATTAACTTTGCATGGATGTCTTTGGTGGTTACATCAGTTGTCTGTAGTCATTGATAATGCTACTGCCCACTTTAGTGTCCATATTCTTTCCCGTACAAAAACCCATCCCACCTAGTCCTATTCCACTATTTTTTGGTACACTTGTCCCTATTAGATTATTACCCATATTTGAGTTATACACTCCATTCTCAGTATAACTCATTTCCATCTGTTGAGCAAATCTCGTAGATATTGTTCCTATTTGAATAGGATTCTGACCAAATTAAAAAAGGTTCTCACGCATTTCACTTCCATTTGGGTGACTAAATCAATTGGTTTATCTTCTTTCTCCACAAACTCCTCATCTTAAAAATTAACTCTTTTGTACATCGATTTTCCTGTGTGGTTGTTGGTCTTACCCTTCTTATTCCGATTCTTTTCTGCATCCCATCTTTGTTTGACCCTTTTTTGATGCATTTTTGGTCCCACCACATTTTTCTTTTCGGTGGAGATGTCCGTAACCAATCATTGTATTCGAGAGTATGATTTCCATAATTGGATTGGTCTGTTGTTTTTGAACATTTTAACTCTATATGCCTTAAGACTCCGCATTTATAGCAGAAATTTGGCAAGCGCTCACAGCCCAATCTTCTAACAAACAAAATCCTTTCCTTCATTCCCTTTAATCAGAACAACTCTTCTAAGTGGTTTTGTAATATCGACATTTACATGTAATCTTAGAAACCTGGACCAACCGATCCTTCATCAAGCCCTGCGTCTACTTTTATAAGGTCTCCTATTTTATGCCCTACCTTTATTCCAGTGTCATGAGATCTCATCCCTAATGACAACCCATAAACTTTGATCCAAAACTCCAAACGATTAAGACTATAATCCCTAGGCCTAAAGCACGCCTTATAATCCTCCATAATAAGCATATTTTTATCTAAAGGCCATGAAGCTCTTTTTGTGACCCTTTTTTTATCTGCCTTAGAATCAAATTTGAACAAAAAGTGATTATCCTCTAACTCTATGATTTCTACCTCTTTGGCAATCCTCTATACCACTTTCAGTGTACTCATCATTGTATCCTTGTTGAAAGGATGAGTAGTAAATAATCTCTCCCCTGTCCACTTCTTCTCATCCATATTCATAGTCTCCAGCTTTGATTCACATGGTGGAATATTATCCAATTTTTCTTTGGTGTAAGTTAGGGACTTCCACAGTCCTTCAAGATCATCAACCATCTGGTTTTTAGCATTTGTTTCCAAGTAAATACTCCGAAACCTCACTAAATAGAGAAATCATTATGACACATTTTTAAGACAACAAACTGACTACTAAAACTAAAAACCCTAAGAAGGTGTTTGGTTAAGGGAAATCCATGCATTTTCCTCCAGAATTTTACTGGTGGATATTTGATTTCAATGTTTAGTTTAAGGTAATTCGATTTTGGAGGAAAGTGATAGATTTTTAACAGCACTTAAAAGTCTCAAAATAAAAAACTCACATCTTTTTATGATATTCTAAGATTTCGGAAGAGAAAGTTGTGTTATTTATAAATTTGATCTGAATTAAAAAATTATGAAATAGTCTTTACTATTTTAAAAAGCATGTATAAAAACAACTGCGAGTCGGTTATAGATTTCTACTGCTAAATTTTTTTTTTATATTGTAATTAATGATGTTTGATATGAAAAATGCTTTATATAATCTTGTTCAATTTTTGGGTATTATTTAAGGTGTTTTTTGCCTAAAAACATCTTAAATAATATTATTCATTTTTTTTGGATTATTTAAGGTGTTTTTACCAGAAAATGCTTTAAAAAATCTTTTACAAAAAATTGAATGAAATTATTTAATACATTTTTTGACAAAAAAGTCTTAAATAATCTTCTAAAAAAATTGATCAGTATTATTTAAGGCGTTTTTTAAACTAGAAACGTTTTAAATAATCCCCAAAAAAATTCTTATAAGTAATCTCAAAAAATAAGCGCTAGAAGGAAATGTCTAACCTACGATTTTATGATTAATATGTCCTAACCTACTGAGCTATTCTAATTTTTTTTATATTTTATTTATTAAATTTTATAAGTAATCTTAAAAAGTAAACGTTAGAGGAAATGATCAAACTTATGACCGTATGATTAATAATCATATGCTCTAATCAACTTAACTACTTTAATTTTTTTATATTTTATTTATTAAATTTTATAAGTAATGAAATGGGTTATTTAAGGTATTTTTGATAAAAAAATACATTAAATAATACCATTTAAAAACATTAAAGTGTTAGCCAAAAATGTCAAATCTACAACCTTATAGTTAATAGTCGTATGCTCTAACCAACTGAGCTATTTTAAATTTTTTGTATTTTATCTCTTAAATTTTATAAATAATTAAAGTGATTATTTAAGGTATTTTTCGACAAAAATGCCTTAACTAATCCCTTTATATTTTTTAAATACCATTTATTTAAGGTGCTTTTAGACCAAAAACGTCTTAAATAATCTCTTTTAAAAAAATAAAATAAATTATTTAAGATGTTTTTAATAAAAAAATACTTTAAATAATCGTTAATATTACTTTATTGATGATATTTTGTAAATAAAAATAACAATCTTTTTTTGTTAAAGATATCATTTGTTATTTTGATATTTATTATTAATAAAAGTTAATAAAAATTTATTATTATATATGTTAAAAAAATTATAATAATTATTTAAAAATTAATATAACTTTCGACCAAATGAATAAATTTAAATGTGAGATAACTTGAAAATAAAAAAATACTTTGAGTATCACATTTTTTTTTAAATCACACCTTTTTTTCAAAATTAAAAAACTCGCGAGTCGTATTGCAGAGAGGCACGTAACCCTAAGGGAATATAGTCTGGTAAAAAAGCAAGACTAGAGTTCTTCTGCACATGCACAGAAGATACTTTTTCTTTTCATGCTTTAGTTGTTCTTTCATTTTCATTCCAAACTTTTAAAATATCATTTTTAGATATCAAATTTCTCCATCTCTTCAACTTGGAAAAGTCTGGGATTCCTAAGTTTTATTTTTTATTTTTTTTTATTTTTTTTACGAGTATAGATGTGCTCTTTCCTTTCATTTTTTTTTTCTTTTGGAGTTGGTTGATTTCTTTTTTATCAAGAAAATTTATGATTTTTTTTCAATTTACATCCATGAAATTTTTATTTGAAAAGCAATTTTTAAATTCATTGCACAAATTTACTGAAAAATTCAAGATTTTATAATGTATAGAATGAAAATATTCTTACCAAAAAGTTATCAGAGTTAATAGGAAAGTTGTTGGCAAGATCTTTTTACTAAATTTACTAAAAATTCATCATTTTGAATTTAAAATCTAAAATTATGTTGCCTTAATTGCAGTGCACATATTTATCACATGAATTGAATTGGTTAATATTAGATTTAATAATTTATATATTTATATCATATAAAATATTGATAATTTGATTATTTATATCATATTTTACATGTATATATTATAATTTATATTAATATAAAAATATAAAATATATTTTTTAATTTTATTAAAATTTTAAATTACATTACTTTTATATTTTTTTCTTATATATTTTAATGTTACATGATCATATTATATTTTAAATTAAGCTGTCTAGTTCAGAGAGTGAGACGCTCCCGAAAAAAGCGCTCCCATAGTTTAGCAACCAATAAGAAAAAGAAAAAGAAAAGGAAAAAGAAATCCCAAGAACAAAAATAAGGAAAAGGGTCCAAGAAAGTGAAAGAAAAAACAGGTCCCCTCCCTTGTTCTTTCCAAACCCACAGCAAATAGAGAAAAGAAAAATCTAATGCCCCGAAAGTCGCTTTCTCAGCCTCAGGCACGTCAATTTTCCCCCTTTTTCTGTCTTTGTTTGCTCCAATTATTATTATAGAAAAGAAGAGAAAAATAATAAAGAAGGAGATATTTGCATATTCGATCAAAAGAGTTGCTTTTTGTTTATGTTATATTAATATTATACTAACCATTCAGCTTATTTTCTTTCTTTTGAATTTGAGAAAACTGGAAAGTGAGTTATAAATTATAGTAAAAATATTAGTAGTAACAATGTTGAAAATGGACTTTGAATTGCAGAAGAATAATTTCAGGGTGTTTGGAAACATGGCGTTGGTTGTTCCAAAGGAGCTTGAAGAACTCGAAAAGCCTTCTTCTTTGTCTTCTCCAAAGCCATTTGAGATCCGATTTCAAGTCCCCGATTTTAGTGTTCTCCTTAGAGTGAGTTTTATTTTATTTTTACAATTATTGTTCTAAGGTGCTGTTTGGGTGCTGAGAAAATGGATGAAAATATAAAATATAAAAGAAACAAGAAATTTTCTTTGGAATCCCACTTGTTCAAGCCAAAAAGTGCGTTATTCAGGAGGCATTTGAGTTTTGATAAAGCCATTATTCTGTCTTCATATAATTTTCAATTTGTTTTGTTTAAATGTTTTGCTGCTGATACTTATAGGGAAAATAGGAGAGAAAAAAAATCATACTGGATAAAAAATGATATAAAAAAAACCCTTCTTAGGAAAAATGTTTATTTTGATTGTACTTCATTGCATATTTTTCTAATTTTTTTTTATTTGCTGTTGGTGGCTGCAATCATGAAAGATATCTCAATTTGAGATGGTTGTGTTTTTTTTTTTTTTTATTTGTTTGTGTTAAAACAAAAAAAAAATCATTATTGTAAATTTTTTTCTGAATTTTGTGAATTTTATGAATCTTTATGATTCTTTATGATCCAATACTCTATGATTGTTGGTTTGAATTATGAGAAATCTTTGTTTTGATGTAGTTCATTGAATGTTTTTCTAAACTTTCGTTTGATGTTGGCGGCAAAATAGATTTTATGGGAATCAAGGACATCTATCCTTATTTTCAGATGGTTACCTTTTTAAATAAATTTTATGTTTTGTTTTCCTGAAGCCAAAAAGGGAAACACCAAATGCTTTAGTGAATTTTACGAATTGCTTTAGAGGCCAAAAGATTGTTGCCATATCACAAAAGCATGCTTTTATTGTGATTCAGGATTTCTTGAGGATTAGGGAAGTTGGTGAGTTTCTTAGCGGAGCTTTAGCAGGGGCTATGACCAAAGCTGTACTTGCTCCTCTAGAGACTATCAGGTTGGCAGAATTCATTTTGATATATGGTTTCATTTATTATTTTGCAAAGTTATTGCCTTTGCCACTATATCTAATAGTTGTGTTTCATATTTCAGGTATCTATATGGAAACTTACCTAGAAGCTTCAACAGGGGAGGCATACCATATGGTTCAAGATTTTATATATCAGAACATTGAATTTATTTCTATTTTGATCATAAAAATTTAAACATGGTTCTCAATCTCATTTCTTTTATTTTCCACAATTTTTCATAATGCCATCAAGCACTAAACATTTTGGTGCATAAATTGTCTAACAAGCTTTTGTTAACTCTTTAAACATTTTGGTATAATTTTGAGAACTTGAATGTTCCATTTTTTACGTTTCTATTTGATGTTGCAGTTATATAGATCCTTCAGATTTCGAAAGAAACAGAACAAGTTAATTGATAATAAACCAATTTGGTATTATCCACTTATTATTTCCATCAATGTTAATACTTTTTCCCAAAAAATGAAAAATAAAAGAAAAAGAAGGGACAGAGTGTTAGTGTACTAATACTTTGATGTCTAATATTCTTTCATTGTATTGCACTGAGGTCCAATTCTTTTTGCTTCTGTGAGTTTAAGTTAATTGGTATCATAGGATTGGATGTATATGCGATTTGTCTTGATTATATGGCATAATATATTATTGACTTGCAAAGTTTTGGATATCAAGTCACTTTGAAATCTTGGAACATTGTGTTGTGTTGTCATTATTACCTCATTCATGATTCTTTTGGGCTGAAAAGCTTTGACATGCTTTTATCAGCAACATATTTTGTACCTTAAACTTCTTTTAACATACTTCTTGTAACATTTTTGTTCGACTCATAATTTCTGACATATGCAGGACCAGAATGGTGGTTGGTGTTGGATCCAAAAACATTTCTGGTAGTTTTATTGAGATCATTGAGCAGCAAGGTTGGCAAGGACTGTGGGCTGGAAATGGAATTAATATGCTTAGAATAATTCCCACCCAGGCAATTGAGCTTGGAACATTTGAGTATGTCAAGCGAGCAATGACTTCAGAACAAGAGAAATGGAATCAGATTGAGCGCCCAAAGTTGCAAATTGGTCATGTTAATATCAACTTTTCTCTTTCCTGGATTTCTCCAGTTGCTGTGGCTGGTGCAGCTGCTGGAATTGTTAGCACACTTGCATGCCATCCTCTTGAAGTTCTTAAGGTATCTAGTATACAATGGGCCCATTATCTTTTATTTTTTTCCCAATTTTTGGAAAAAAAAAAAAGAAAAATAAAAGTACAACATTCTACATCAAGCTGAATTATTTCTCTGAGTTTTTTGCCTTTCAATAGTAGCTACACGTCAAGTGCATCTAGTAGTATAGACTGCATAATGAGGTTACCAGCTCATCATGCTTGTTACTGCTTAGTCTCCTCTTAGTATCTCACTTATCTGAGCACTGGGATAGTTGAATAGCCTATCTTTATGTTGTCTTGACACTTGGAAAATGATTATATCCAAATGTGATCATATTGAAGATGTCATAGCCTTTTCTTATTTTATGCTTCTTCCTATGGAGCTTACTGTTCTCCTTGTAATTCTTGCAGGATAGGCTGACTGTCAGTCCCGACATATACCCTAGCTTAAGCATTGCAATTAGCAAGATTTACAAGGATGGTGGTGTTGATGCCTTTTACGCTGGTATCTCTGCTACACTAATGGGCATGCTTCCTTATAGTACATGTTACTATTTCATGTATGAAAAATTAAAGAGATCCTACTGCCAATCAAAGAAGAAAAAATCTCTAAATCGTCCAGAGATGCTTCTACTTGGAGCTCTTGCAGGTAAGAAACTTGGCCTTTGTTGGTTTTAGAAAATTTCTCTAGGGTTATCTGTATATCATTACTCAAGCTTGCTAGCTTTTGTTTCTTCAAAAATAATGAAAGACAACTTTTCCGATCATTTTTGTTATCTTGAGTTGTTTCTAGAAGGCTATGAATCCTGACATTTGGAGTACTGCCTGAAATTTGAAAAAGTACAATGTCTGTCATGGTGAACATAGAAAAATGATTTATGTTGTCCCTCTGTGTTCAATTCACATTGCAAGAGAATCAAATTATGGGGTCTATTGTATAACAGCTAAATGGGATTCAATTGATATGGCCAGGCTTTACCGCGAGCACCATCAGCTTTCCCTTGGAAGTTGCTAGAAAACGGCTGATGGTAGGAGCTTTGCAGGGTAAATGTCCACCAAACATGGCAGCAGCACTTGCTGAAGTGATTCGGGACGAGGGCTTGACAGGTCTTTACAGAGGGTGGGGTGCTAGCTGTTTAAAAGTGATGCCCTCCTCTGGTATCACCTGGATGTTCTATGAAGCTTGGAAAGACATATTACGTGTTGAGAAGCGCATATTATGATGGCGCCAGAAAAAACTTCACATAGCTAACTAGTTGAGACTGATGTTGGGCTCCTCTTTTAAAGTGCAAGAGGTTGCTGCTAGCATGGTAGTTTATGGAAGCTCTGGAACTCAATCCGAGGGCTGATGTTATTTATGGAACCATTTCACCTACAATTTTTTTTTATTACAAATCTAGAATTAGTCAATTATAATAAAGAATTATGCAAGAATTCACTACTTAAAAGTGAGTTCTACTTGATTTTTTGTAAATCTTACAAAATATTAAATTATAATTATTTAATTGTACTACAATAATTGTAAATGATATGGTTCCTGTATTTATGAGAATGAGCTGCCAGTTTTTATCTGAATGACTATGGCATTGTCCACAGATTTTTTTTTTTTTATTTTTTTATTTAGCTTTACAGAATTATTAGGTGAGCTTCAGTTTTGAGGCTACATTGAATATTGACATGTAGCAACGGAGTTCTTATATTACTTAATTACGAGTATTAAAATTTTTTTTTATAAAATTAAAATTTCATGATTTTTAATGTTAAAAAATAAAAAAAATCATAAAAAATTATTTTAAAATAGATAAAAAAAAAAGAGTTTTAGATATTAAAAAAAATTAGGACATAATTTTGAGATATTTCAAAAAAAATATTTATAAAAAAAATGGGATAGAGGGAGTATATTTTTCAATATCAAATTTAAAAACAACAATAAAAATTAATATGACTATCCATAATCACCAAATTACTAAAAATATTATAACTTTACAAGAATTAAAAATAAAGTTCCAGATTTGAAACCATGCGAACTTTAAATTTATCTATTCAAAAATTATATAAATTTTAAAATCAAGGTAAATTAAAGAAGTGCTTACCATTACTCTGCCTACGTGTCTTATTTTCTCTAAATCTAGCAGTTACAAAACTTTCACTAAATCTAGCAGATCCAATATAGATTAAGTCAATCAAAAATTTTTTCATACAATAAAGTAAAATAAAAAAAATTTTGATCTAAAGAAAATAAAACATACAAAATCAAGGGAAATAGTAAGCTGAAATTGGCCATGTTGAATCCAAAATATTTCACTGCTTCTATGAGTCAGATATTCAATTTACTTCGAAATACACAAAGGTAAAAAACGTATAGTAACTAACTACATGTTCAAGGAAGCTAATCAACTTAATTTTTACTGGATCAATTAGAATTGCATCTGGATTCTGAGCAGCCAATAAAATCCAAAAAAAAATTTAAAAAAAAAAGTCTTATGAAATTTTATGTGTGGACCTCCCATCTCGGTAGCCATCGATATCCCATCTCTATACTTTAAAGCCACAACTGATGTTCCAGTTACAAATGGATACCTACCAAAATTATATATATATATATATAAAAAAAAAAAAAAAAAAATTAGGAAAGGGAAAAACAAAATTATCCCAATTCTTCTACACCTTTTTTTTTTTCAAAATCACCCCTTAATTTTATTTTTTTTTGGATTTTGGTGAACTATCCATATAATATCATAATGGGACTTTTTTTTATTGTAGTAATAGATTAAAATGGAACCCCCGATGCCAATTTTTGTTTTTTGGCCAATCGTTGTCAATTCAATATTAAATGAGAAGATTTTTTTTTCAGATTCTATATTTTTCAAGAAAATAAATCATTCAATAGAAATATAAAAGAAAAAGCTTGATTGTAATTGAAGAAAAATGCTCAATCATAAATAAGATCGTAAAGAAGATAATATAATAATAAAACTAATTGATTAACGATATTAGTATAATTTTATGAGAAATTATCAAATATATTGATAGCAAATTTTTTTAATTTTATAAACGAGATTAACAAGATAACATATAATTTTTAAAATATATTTTAAAAAATAAAAAATACAATTAAAAAACTCGATTAACTTGATTAACAGTATATCAATAATTTTTTAATTTTATTCAAAATTTATTATTTAAATGGACAAAAAAATAATTTTATAATTATGATTTTTTACTAGAATAATTTAACTATTATAGGATCCTCTCAAGATCTTATGAGTCATTATTTAAAGTGTCAATACTTGTAATACTTGTAATGTAGGCTAAATAATTTTAACTTACTTGAGGAAGGATTCTTAGAGTCTAGCGATAAGAGAAATGAGAGAATTCCTCACGATTTTAAGGAGAATTTTTGGAAGGTTTAGAACTGGATTTCTCAAAAAGGGAGAAGAGAATGACTCGAGTTGTGGGAATGAAATGGAAAGGGCTCTTTATAGCTAAATGTTAAGGGTATTTTGAAAATAGTTGGATGATTATCTTCCATTTGATAAATACTTGGGATAAGTATCTCAAGATTTATCCAAGAGATAATTCAACAGGATTATCACTTGGGTTCTTATCAAGCCCATGCCATCAATAGAGGTATTGCCAATCAGCTAAATTAATAAATTTAGAAAAAGGAAAAGTCTGATATGAGATGAAAAAGGAAAATGAACACTTTCATTATAATTTCTATCACAAAATTCAAATGTTTAAAATAAAGTGATATCATTGATTGGTAGAACATCATGGCACATAAATTCCAACAAAAGGGCTGTTGCCCCTTACAACTATAAGTATGAAATCAATTTGCCCTTCATCTACCAATGAAAATGTTTGCTATATGATTGGCATTAATGGTTTGTTTGATAGAAAAATAAAATCTAAAAAGATAAAAAATGAGAAAAAAGTAGCATATTATAAGGATTAAATATATAGACAATTTCTTTGAGTTATGTAATTAATTTGATAATTTACAATGATACAATAAAAAATGTTGGTGTCGAGTTTTGAGTTAAAAGTAAAATTTTGAAATCACTAGATAAAAAAGAGAGTGTTTAAAAATAAAAGCATAGGGTGTTCTTTGTGATGACATTTTATTATTTAAATCCAATATAAAAGAAGTCGGAACGAGAAAAAAGAAAGAAAGTATTAATAGTATAAAAATAAAATAATAGTACACAAATATTTTTATTTATAGATAGAAGTGATAAATTTATGAGATATAATAATGATATAATATTAAATATGTCAGATTGATTTGATATATCAAATCGATCTAAAAATTAAAAAAAAAAATTAATTATTTATTGATAATTTTTAATAAATAAAAATATCAAAATATCTTTTGAACTTAAAAATATCTCTAACAGAAAGTGTCAATACATTAATTAAATTAATTCTAAGATAAAATATCATACTCATTTCCAACCTCCCAAAATAGTTCCCTTTTGCTTTTCTGATCATTAGCAACTATGTTATGAACCCAAAGCTTTACGATAAGAATATTGGTCGACAGCTCACATGAATGGAAAACAAACTCACACAAGTCAATGGTGCGTGTTCTCTTTTTCCCGGTGCCCATCCGCTGGACGCGTAAAGTATTTCGAGTCAAAATTTAAATGAGACCGAATCACGAGTTCTTTGAATTACAGATTATAATAATTCTAGTTGTTTAATTATCGAATCGGGTTAGGTCAATTTTAATTTATCAAATCGGTTCAATTAATTTATTTTTGATAGTTATTGATTAAAAATAATTTAATCTGTTAATATAGTCAATTTTTAATTTTTAAAATTAATGTTTGACTTATTGAATTAATCAACTTTTTAGTAAGATTTTAAATATATTATATATATATAAATATTTTTTATTTGTATTTTAGGAATGATAAATGATAATAGTAACAAAATTATAATGTGAATTTTATTGGTTGAAAATTATTATAAAATTATTATCTAAATTTGGTGGAAAAAATAATGAAAAAAATTTTTATTTTTCAATGAATTGATTGATCTTATGTGGATTCAATTAATTTTTAGTATTAAAAATAAATCGATCAATTTGATTATTTTTTAAATAAGATTCGGCTAACTTTATTTTTTATTTTTAAAAACCGACCAATGGATTACTCACCGCTTTTTGGAACGTTGAAATATTGTTTGCAAGACTTGCATTTTCATAATAATAACTCAAATAAATAAAATATACATTAGAGATTTGAATAAAGGTATTAATGACCAGAGGACTGGGAAGAACTGTTTTGCATATATATAGTACTAGATCTAAGTGAGAGAGTTTCATAAGCATTTTAACTTTTTTTTAAAATTTTTTTAAAAAATTATATAAATTTAATAATAAATTGATAAAAAAAAAATTAAAACTAATAATTTGAAATACGACATAATGACATGATACAAATAAAAAATACAGAGATCATACGATTTAAAAATTTACAAAAATCTTATATATGTTTAATAAAATAAAAAAAATTATATTTTATATTTTTGAATTATCACGAATTGTGACACGATTTTTATGTAAAATACAATTCAAAAATAATGTTTTACATGACACGGTGATACGAATTGTCAAGTTTAGAATAAATGATATCATTAATTTTATAGATAATATAATTTAAAACTAAACAAAATAAGAAAATTCCTAAACAGTTTTAATTTAATAAAGAATTTTCTTATCTAGATATAATAATTCATCTATTTGTGTCGTATCTATTTCTTGTCAAATATGTATAAAATAAAAAAATTATCATATTATAATTCGACGCATTAAATATGAAATATATTTTTTGTTTTTGTTAAATTTATATATAATTTTTGTCAAAATTTTAAATCATGTCGCTCTCATTTTTTATATTATTTTTATATTATGTCATCATATCATGTTTAAAATTATCAAATTTACTCTTATAAAAATTGAAACATTAAAAATAATAAAATAAAATGAGATAATTAAAAAGTGTATCTTAAAGGTAATTGATTGAACGATAGTTTCAATCGTGATTGGCAAACGTTACAAGCATTGGTCAACTTTTATGATATGTAGGTTTTCAACGTGGTAATGTCATCATAAGTGTATTAGAATATTATTTTATATTTGTTTGTTAGGATTTATATATGATATATTACCCGTATATATGCCATTAATGAACAATAAATAGTTTTAAAAAAAAAATTTAATTTTAATATTTTAGATTAATGTATTGATTTTAAGATTTTAATTTTAAAATTATTTTATAAGAAATATTATGTTTTTATGATAAAATATTATTTATCATTGATATATGCAATATAACTATAATCTATTAAAATAACCATAAGTTTCATATTTAATATCTTATTATTATATGATGTAATATTTAAATAAAAAAAAATTATATTTGATACTTTATCAATAGAGATAGAGCTCTTTAAGATTAAAGGTGAATAAGCTCCATTGAAGCCAAAATATAAAATCTAGAATTAATGTTTCTAAAAAAACTTAAAAATTTATAACATACTTAAGTTGATTTGCACCTGAT